TATAACTATATATACATATGTATATATACATATATATCCCTACCAAGACAGGGCCAGAATTCTCTATAATGTAATCCTTATGCAATAGTGTTCTGTGTATAGCTGGCCCACCCAATCGTGATTCATGATGCATATACACGTCATACGTCCTTACATCATAACGGCTAAAGGTGCCTGTCCTTAAAAGGATATATAAGACCCGACTGCTGGACGCTGCTTTTCCTCTCAAAATAACTCAAGGCACAAAGATGAATGTTCCCCTCACATAAAGTCAATTGCTTTCTTGCTTGCTTCACACATACTGATGATGGTTGTCAACAAAATCTAAATAAAGATATGAAATACTAGTACTTCACATTGACAGATGCATTTAATACACTTTCATCACATCTGCATCAGATATACACATGTATATCACAAGATATAATGAAACACTTTACATACAACTCTAGCAGTAAAGAGATTAATTTTAATTCAGGCCTTTTTGAAAAAATTGAGAACAAAATCATCCCAAGTAATTACTTATTGTATAAGAAAAGTATGAAATGATGCATAGATATGATAGAAATATGTATACAGTTATATATATATACACATAGATGCAAATGTATTTTTGTTTATGTAAATGGACTTATAGATTGTTGGGATTGCACATCGTTGCACGGGTATCACAAACATAATAATTGTTAGTCAATTTATACATAGGAACTTATAGTGTTAATAGCATATATCATTTAGTGTATGTTAATACATAACATAGATAACAAAATTATTTCCTTGAGTGAACTTTCATTTACCTTTTAATACAGATCTTATATAGGATTTCACATGAAGAATATGAAGTGTCTGCCTGTAACTGTAATAACAAAATTATGAAAGATGTTACAAAACACATCAATAAATTGGCCAATGACCTCCATATAAGTGGCTGTATTGGAGAGCAGTTTTTTGAAACACTGTGAACATTAGTGGTTGTCTTTTGACTGCCCCGTAGTGACAATGTCTATAAAAATGAAAATACAAAACACAAAATTACACAAACAAAATCATATGAAACATAAGTCAAAAAAGAGAACCTTCAAACACTATGATGCATCTGCCACAAAAATGTCAGGAGGTAGTCTACCTCGTGGATCATTTTTTTTCATTCATAATTCTCATCTGCCCTTGAAACTTCTATGGGAGAAGGTATATCTACAGAACTCATACATGTTAGGCCTGTGACATTTTATGTACACCAGAGTATTCTTTCTTTCCCAGATAATGCCTCCTTGACTCTGACTTTGCATACCTGCACATAATCACCAAGTCATATTTCTTGGAGAATCCTCAAGCACATTGCTCCTTTGCATGTACTCTCTTGTGTAGTGCTAGAATATAATTTAGAGATAAAGTTTTATTGGAAACCAAACATAAATGGCTTATCCTCTGCATGTTCTGCACTCTGATCCATTAAGACAGACTTATCTGAGAAGTGTTTATTGCAAATCTTATAGCTACATGGTTTCTCCTTTGCATGTACTCTCAAGTGCACTACTGGATTATATTTCTGAGAGAAGGATTTTTTGCAAATGTCAGAGATATCTAGCTTCTCTTTTGTATGTATTCATATGTGCTTTAGTAAATAAATTTTATCTGAGAAGCCTTTATTGCAAATCTCACAGCTATATAGTTTTTCCTTTGTATGTACTCTCATATGCTTTACAAGATGACCTTTTTGAGAGAAGGCTTTTTTGCAAATGTCACAGATTTATGGTTTCTCCTTTGTATGCACTCTCATGTGCCTTACAAGATGACTTTTCTCTGAGAAAGCTTTTTTGCAAATCTCACAGCTATATGGTTTCTCCTTTGTATGTACCCTCAAATGCCTTATCAGAGAACCTTTCTCAGAGAAAGCTTTTTTGCAAATGTCACATATATATGGTTTCTCCTTTGTATGTACTCTCGTGTGCACTTCTAGATAACATTTCCGAGAGAAACCTTTATTGCAAATCTCACAACCATATGGTTTCTCCTTTGTATGTATTACCATGTGTCTCACTAAGCTAAATCTATTTGAGAAGTCTTTATTGCAAATCTCACAGCTATATGGTTTCTCCTTTGTATGTACTCTCGTGTGCACTTCTAGATAACATTTCTGAGAGAAACCTTTATTGCAAATGTCACAGATATATGGTTTCTCCTTTGTATGTACTCTCATGTGCTTTACCAGAGAACCTTTCTCAGGGAATGCTTTATTGCAAATCTCACAGATATATGGTTTCTCCTTTGTATGTATTCTCATGTGCTTTACCAGAGAACCTTTCTCAGAAAAGGCTTTTTTGCAAATCTCACAGATATATGGTTTCTCCTTTGTATGTACTCTTATGTGTCTCACTAAGTCAGATTTATATGAGAAGTCTTTATAGCAAATGTCACAGAAAATGGTTTCTCCTTTGTATGTACTCTTATGTGTCTCACAAATTCAGATTTATATGAGAAGTCTTTATAGCAAATGTCACAGATATATGGTTTCTCCTTTGTATGTACTCTCAAGTGTACTACTAGATGACATTTCAAAGTGAATGCTTTGCTGCAAATTTCACAGCTGTATGGCTTCTCTTTTGTGTGTCCTCTGATCCTCTGATCCTCTTCTGATAAATATTTTTTCTCCTTCACCTCGGTCACAATTGGTACTCTCAAAAATGTATTGCAATCCTCAATAATATCACATGAGACTTTTACATTTGCTTCATTTTCAAGGTCTTGAAGATCCCTGAAGGAAAGAAATTCATTTTTCACTTTCACTTCACTCACTTCATCTGCATGATCATACACTTCTTCCTTAATTTCCATCTTTATTTCTTCGGTGACACCTTCACTGAGTTCTTCTTTGATACGGACTCCTGTGCCAAATATTTCCTTGTCCATGAGTGGGGCCAAAGGAATCTGGTCGGGGAGAATACTCATTGTTGGCCTGTGAATGGAAAAACAGAACAAAGATAACAGTACCCATAACATAGCTAATCATTTGCATATACAAATTATCATATATAATGACATGTCACCTCTGTGATTGTGGGTGCTTCCGTAGCCTCACCCTCTCTTATCTTCAGGAGTGATTTTCTTTGCGATCATTCAATTCTTATTCATTTTCCTTTTAAAATTCTTATATCTTTTGATCATTTATTTATCCATTCTTACATAAATATAGCTATTTAATTAATGCTGAAATAAATAATTTTGGGGGGAAAATTTTATTCCTTGATTTCTTTTTATTCCAGAAGACAAAAAATATATTCAAGGATCAGACAGTATAAAAAGAAAAAAATCCAACATAGTAATAGTAATTATCTATCTTTTTCTAATATCTGAAACAATGACGGAAAAAAAAAAAAAAAAAAAAAAAAAAAAAAATATATATATATATATATATATATATATATATATATATATATATATATATATATATATATATATATATATATATATATATATATATATATATATATATATATATATATCCAATAAACATAAATTAGGCAAAAGCTGCAGCAAACTTCCAAATGTTCTCAGAATGTGGCCAGATGATATTCCTATGGGTTTCTATAGGAGTAAACATTATGTGCAGTCAGAGAATACTTCACAAGGGCTTTTAAAGTTGAGAACTGTATATGCCATTGAGTGCAATATGTGAATAAAATGCATAATTAGTGTAAGTCGTGGGAGACCCTTAGGGGGGCCATCGCGCTCGAGAACGAAGTTCATCAGTTATGATCAGATATTCGTGATTTTTTAATATATTATACATACATATAAATAAGTGATAAACGCCATGTTTCATATCATATTAATGAAAAACAAGGTTTTGAACAATTACAAACTCTTTAAAATTGCACTTATCCATTGAACAAACTTATTGAAAAAATTGCCACCTGTAGTCTATAGCAATACCTAAAACTTGCAAAGACCGGAGTTTTAAATTTCGTTTTAGTTTAGTGGGAATATATTTTTTTCTAAATGTTCAGTCTTATGAATATCACGATAATATATGAGCTACTATTACCTAAAATGAAAATTTTCTCTAAGAAAACCATCGCAAATATATTCAGCTTTTAAATTATCCAAACCTCATTAGAATCGCCCAAGTATTTATGGATAAATTTTTAAAATTCTGACAAATGTTGACAAAAGTGTAGTTTTGAGATAACAGGCTCCGAAATTTAGGAAACTTTTCCCTCAATTTTTTTTTTCTTTTTTCTTTTATTTATCTATTTATTTATTTTTTTTTTATTATTATTTTTTTTTTTTAGAAATCAAATCTCTGCGGCAATCTTGCTGCACTCTATGGCATTCACAAGGTATTCTGAAGTGTTGCTGGTACATTGTCCCTCCTTTTGCAAAGTATTAATGGTAATAACTGCACATAATTGTGGAATTATCGCATGTCACCACAGGCTTTCAGTGTCTAACCTGACCACGTGAGGTATTTAAATGTATAAACAACTACTGCAGCTGTGATTAAGAAGTATTTCTGATCATATTACGTTTATTAAATACTAAAATAACATCAACAATTAGTATTGTCCCCTTACTGTGTTATATGGGCCTATTCTGCAATATGCTGTCATGGAGGTAGGAGCTGGCAACCTTTCTCTCTAATTTTCTGGTGGAGTTTTGTCTTCCAGAGTCCCAGTCTTGATGATCAGCTGATGGGTAAACAGAGTTGCCAGCTAACTTCCAGAGAATGCCAAAATAACCCCCCCAACCCCCAAAAAAATGTTTGTAGAGTATATTTTTATGGACGCGAAAATGTAAACATCAGAGCGGGAGGTGGGGGTCAGATTTAGTTATAACTCCTTTAACTTTACATATTTAGCAAAAATATTACATCAAGAGATTGGCAAAGCCCACTAGATTACAGGAGATTTTTTTCAATTTTTTTCTTTTTTTTTTTTTTTTGTCGCAACAGCCCCCTTAACAGGTTAATAACAATAATTATAATAAAGCAAATAAATAAAATACTTCTTTCCTCACTGGCCATAACCTGTTAGCCTCGAGCATAACCTTTCACAGCCTTAGCCACCAACTTAATCCACAATCTGAGATACAAATATATGTAATCTCTAACTACATTTACTTTCTTTAGTATTATATCTATACACTGACACAAACACAAAGTGCAATTACATAATGTGAAACATTTCAAGTAAAAAACTAAAATCTAAACAAGAGTGAAGACTTGAAAATTTTGAAATATATAGACACTTGTTTCAAACACTTTATCTGAAAAAAAAAAAATGAAGATGTCACGATGTCAAAACGTGCTTTCATAGTGCATTGTTTAATCTCATTTGGCAACCTTAAATATTAAAAAAAAAAAAAAAAAAAAAAAATTATATATATATATATATATATATATAATATATATATATATATATATATATATATATTATGTTTGGCTGCAAACAAACAAAAATATCTTTAGGATCCTATGAAATTGAAAATATACCCAATGTTGCTCAATATCCTCTGTCATATTGCTGTCTAGTTTTCACACTTTGTCATCTATTACTTGTAAGACTTTCATTTAATAGAAAAATCTCTTCATTCACCTTCCACTTAAGCATGAACTGGTATACCATGAGAATCACAAGTAAATCAAAATGATTTTCTGGTTTCAATAAAGGCAAAATTATGTATTGGAGACATAGCCTTCTAAAGATTCTAAAAGGCTGTATGTATCTTATATCTCACCCAAAGTCCATGATTTTCTTGTCTTACTCATCATCCATCATATAGAGAGAACATACTCAAAATCAGCAAAATATTTCAGCTACTAGTGCTATTCTTAAAAAGATTACTCATCACAAGTCCCACATCCAACACCACCTAAAAATTGTCTTTGTGGCTTTGACAATCTAATTTTCATAATCTCACTGCAGGGTGTCGTGAGAACAGACGTTCATTGGAAATATGTTTTGTTTTACCAGTAGTGGGCATCTCTTTCCTAATCTTTAATGGTTAATGTTTGAAACAAATAAATGTGTTAGACATCAAAGTCATATTGTGTCGGAGAGGGTAATGAGGAGTTAAAGATTAGGATAAAATGTGTTAAATGTCAAAGATTAGATAGTACAAGTGCATCTGCTAAAGATTATACATGGTTATATCTTATTTCTTTCCTGAAATAAAAGTAACTGCATATGTATCATATATATATAGGAATGTATATATATATGTATACATACATATATATGTATATATACATATATATCATATAATGTCTATAAGTATGTATATATATTCATAAATATGAATACCAAAATATGTATATACGTATAAATACATGTACATATACAAATATGTATATCTACATATAACTATATATGTATATATATATATATATATATATATATATATATATATATATATATATATATATATATATATTATATATATATATATATATATATATATATATATATATATATATATATATATATATATATATATATATATAGTATATATATATATATATATATATATATATATATATATATATATATATATATATATATGTATGTATATATATATATATATATATATATATATATATATATATATATAGTATATATATATATATATATATATATATATATATATATATATATATATATATATATATATATATATATATATATATATATATAATATATATATATATATATATATATATATATATATATATATATATATATATATATATATATATATATATATATATATATGTATATATATATATATATATATATATATATATATATATATATATATGTATTGTATATAATAAGTATGTATATATATATGTGTGTGTATATATATGTATGCATAACTCCATAACTGCAGATTTACCGATTACCCAACCTAATATGAAGCAGAGACATAAATACAGAGACATAAATACATACACATACAAATACATATATGTGTGTGTGTGTGTCTGTGTATGTTTACACAAATTCACACATGTATATATATATATATATATATATATATATATATATATATATATATATATATATATATATATATACAAGTACATTTAAACACAATTACATAACTGCACATTTACCCACAGCCATAAAAAACAGCTCAACCCATTCTTCCATGATCTTACCTTATGGATTTATACACTATCTGTACTGCAAAATTTCTAGAAGCTGAGTGACAGCATGTGCCTTCCCTTGGGTCTCAATATGGGAGGCTCCTCGCTCAAGGGAACCCTGGCTTCACTGGACAGGAGAGGCGAGGGCAGAGTAAGGGAACTTCGACTTCTCCCACGTAGTCTCCTGTAAGAAGAATGCTAAAACATTATTCTAGTAATTTTTTCAGTGTTGACATAAACATTATAGCTCTATAGTAAATAAATAATAAAATGACAGCACTGACCAAACAATAAAAGCTCAAATAAGAAATATTTTCAAGACATTATATATCAACAATTATCATAATTAAGGTAACAAAAGTAATGGAAATGTTAATAATTATCATAATTATCCTGATGACAGAAATGAAAATAATAATAATAAAAGTGATAATAATCTGTACAATAAAGGAGTTTGAAATGTTTTAGGAATTCAGATAAACATCCTTTTGTTACCGAGACCGATTTCCTGCACGAGGTAGCAACCAGCCAGGAACAAATGCTGGAAATGTGCTTCCACCACGGCCTCTTCCGTCAGGAGAGAGCCTGCGGCAGGTACGGGCAGCCAGCACGCCTGGACGTGAAGAAAAGGTTCAGGAGCACACTCCCTACTATCAGCGGCATCTATCAATCAGGTTAGTACCTTAAAAATCCTAGGTTAAAGTAGGTTATCGGCTCCGCATCTAGTTTGTGTGCGCTCTATCCTGCCGTGAATATGTGGGGGATATTTTGTTTCCTTGGCAGGGGTGAATAACCATGGTTATTTCAACTATGGGTTATGTCATTAGGGTAATTTCTATTACGTCTGCCATTCCAACATTATCGCCCCTGCTAAGTTTGCCACTAATGGGGGGTTTTCGTGCAATAAAACCTTCATATTTGCATTGTATAGAGTGAGAGGAATCCAACAATATCAAAATCGTTGATATCGAAGCGGCGAGGTAATATAGAAAATTACCAAATACCCAATATATGAACCTTCATAAAGTACATAATCATTAGAAACTAGATAAATGAGAATTTAATTCATAAATGCCAGACTTGTAATTCAAGCACACATATTACCTTCATTGCACTTAACACTAGTAAATGCCAACAATCTCCTCAAAATACTTTGTTCATGACTTTTAATCAATATATATATCAATCCCAACTTCATATTGCAAAAATAATTGTAGAAGATTGTTCACCTTTGACAGTGATTGTAGGAAGCGTATTCTGGATAATTAACATATTATCAAGTTCTATTGTCTTCTGCTTTTTCACATAATATCCAATTATCTCTAGATTCGGCATTCACTCCTTTCTTTACTTACAATCCTTTCAATCTCATGCTTACAAAGCTTCAAAATATCAACTATTTTTTTTCACTCTTTCCTCCTTGACGTCTACATCAGTTATTCTACACAAGGTCTATATAAGTACAGGTCTCGTCACTTCAGAGTTCTGCGCAGCTTTGGGTGATAAGGCCTATGACGTCACTTGGAGAGAGCTGAGAGCAAGGGGGGCGGGGGGAATTAGAGCATGGTAGGGTGGAAGGAGATAATAGAAAACGGTGGTAAATGAGCTGATACTTAAGTAATTTTAGATGTCGGCACATTGAACGATTTGCATATTGGACAGATTTTACAGGCGATGATTATCAGCGATTGTTTATAGGCCTATATCACATATTCTACGTGAATTTAGTTTTGTAATTTTCATGTTGCAGCTTAGACATGCCATAATAAAGATGTAAAAAAAAAAAGACATGGCATATGTAAACTCCAAATGTTTTTTGCTGAATTTATTATAAAACAAATCATACAACAATAACAATAATAATGTTAATAATAATAATAATAATGGCAATACGTAAACATAATAACATAAATGTACATATATAAGCTGCAACCAATCACTGGGTATTGTGGCTTTGCACGCGCCGGTCTGTCAAGCGAGCGAAAATGGAGAGAGGGAGAGATCCTTCCGGCTCGACATCACATCCAAGAATGACCACACGATTAGCGTCGAACCCCCAGGCTGTCTCCAGATGACGTCATAAGCGAGATGGACGAATTTGAGTCGCTTAGTGACGAGACCTATATTTATATAGACCTTGATTCTACATATTTATTTCTTCCGCCACTCCACATTGATATCGGAGTTTTCATGGTAGAAATAACATAAAACTAATAATGAACTAACAACTTGGTAATATACTAACCACTTAATATTGACACCGTAGTAGATAACACTTCTTCTTCTTTCTTGTTATAGGGTTTAGACTATGTTGCCTATATCCCCTGGATCCTCTTCTTTTGTTCTTGAAGTTTCTTATATTAGGTTGATTAACTTGGTTCTTTGTAGGAAGATCTTGGTGTGTCTCAGTATGTAATACTTCAGTGGTAATGGATGATCTGTCCCTGTTAACAGAAGGTTGATGTTAAAGTCATAAATATTTGCTTGAATAAGTGCTTGTTTTAGTTTTATTCTATGGGAGTTGAATCTTGGGCATTGTATTATCATATGTTCTATTGTTTCCTCTTGGTTTCTGCACCATCTGCAGTATGGGTCGTTTTCCATTTTTATTCTATATAAATGTTGTTTTAGTCTTGTATGTTTGGTTAATAATTTTGCGATACATGTATCCATTTTTCTGTTTTTAGCTCTGACCCAAGGTTTTATGTTGTTGTCTTTTATGAGATAATTCTTTGAGTTTAGTAATCTTTTGAGATTCGATTCCCATTGTTTGAAATTTTTTGATTTTATTTCTTTTATTGTATAATTTGGGTCTTGAGAAACTTTCATGGTGTTGTTTAGTTCATGACCTTTCTTTGCTGCTAAGTCTGCTATTTCGTTTCCCTTAATGTTTTTGTGTGATGGAATCCATTGGATTTTTATTGTTTGTTTTTTAATTTCAATTGTATGCATTTGCTTTTGTATATCATATATGATTTGTATATAATTTAGAGGTTTACGGTTTTGTAGAAGTTGTAGTGATGATTGGGAATCTGTTAGTATTACCGTTTTGTTTAGATTATTGTTTATAATATAATTTAGTCCTTGCTTTATTGCATAGAGTTCTGCGTGGGTTATTTCTATATTAGCTGGTAGTTTCCAGATAGTTGTTATTTCTTTGTCTTGAATAAATATTGCTGCTGAGGTTGATTCTGGTTCCTTTATTTTTGATCCATCGGTGAATATTTTGGTATAATCTTTGTAGTTTATGTTTATCATTTCTTGATAATATTTTTGAATAACTACTTGAGGGGTGTTTTTTGTAAGTTCTTCAGCAAAATTTATTTGAATATAATTTGAGATATCAAACCATGGGGTACTGGTGAAGTGGTTGGTACTTCATTTATTTTTAGTTCAATATTCAGAATCTTATTAGTTTCTGTGACTCTGTGGAATAGAGATCTCTTGTCTCTCTGGGGGTTATATTCTTTTATGTAGTTTATTGTTTGCTGTTTTATTGGCATTCTATTGGGTTTGTTTAGATCTTGGTTAGATGTATATATTCCAGTTCTTTTTTTCGGTCTTTCATTGGAGGTAAATTTGTTAGAGCTTGAAGGGCTATTATTGGGGTTGAATTAAGGCATCCTGTAGCGAGTCTTAATACTTGATTTTGGAGATTTCTATTTTTTTAATTTCTCCTTCTTTTGCTGCACCGTATATTGTTATTCCGTATTCTATTTTCGGTTTTATGTATATTTTGTAGAATTTTATCAGGGTTTCTCTGTTGGCTCCCCAGTTGAATGAGGCTAGCTTTTTCATGAGATTTATTCTGTATAATGTTTCTACTTTTATATTATTTATATGGTTTTTCCACTTTAGTTTTGGTGCATCTAAAGTTAGGCCTAATATTTTGTGGCTTTGTACATATTTTATTTCTATATTGTCCATTTTAATTGTTGGTAAATGATTTATTTTCTTGTTTGTAAAAGAGGAGTTTACTTTTTAGGAAATTTATTTTTAAGTCCCAAGTATTTGCCCATTCTTTTAATTTTTGTAGTTCTGTTTCTAGTTTGTTTGCTGCTTCAATTAAATTTTTTTTACTTATTATTAATGTAATATCATCGGCGTATATTATTTTTTTCGATGCCTGTTAGTTTCAAATCGTTTATCATTATGTTGAATAGTACTGGGCTTATTGGAGACCCTTGAGGTACCCCACATTTAGTTGTTCCTTTCTTTGAAGTTCTATTTCCAATCTTTATTTGGAATGTTCTATTTTCTAAAAGCTCATTTATCCATTTTAATGGGTTACCTGTTATTCCTAGTTTTGCCATTTTTATTATTAGTGCTTCGTGGTTGACTGTGTCAAAAGCCTTTTCCAAATCTATACAGGCTATTATGGTATATTGTTTTTCCACGAATGCTTTGTTTATATGATTATCTAGTATTTGTAATGCATCTATTGTATTTCTGTTTGGCCTGAATCCATTTAAATCTTTGTCTAGTTTGTTATAATGTTCCAGAAACCAAGTTATTCTTTTTGTTATTAGACTTTCGAATAACTTTCCGATACAAGATATTCTACATATGAATCTGTAGGATTTTGCATCATTTGGGTTTTTTCCTGGTTTAACTATTGGATTTACTATCACGTTTTTTTGTGATGCTGGGTATTCACCCCTGGACCAGTGTGTATTCATTATTCTTAGAATTGCCTTCAGCAAATTATCTGGTGCATTTTTATATAGTTCGTATGGTATCTCGTCTGGGCCATATGCTTTGTTATTCTTAGCATTTTTTAGTATTGTTTTTAATTCTATCATGGTTAGTTCGTTGCTTAGTTCATTTGTATTTTGTATATTGAATAAATTGTATTTTTGTGAATTTGATAATAATTTTTTTGGGTATTTTGTTTACTGTTTCCATATTTCTTTGAATTTTTCTAGTTTTTGGTTGATATTTGTTAGTGGCAAATCATTATCTATTATTGGATATTCCGTTGTAATTGTTTTTCCTGTCAATTTTTTGAAAAAGTTCCAAATCTTTTTTGGTGGGTTTTTGAAGTTTAATGTTTCACAAAAATCGTTCCATGATTTCTTTTTTTGTTGAGTTATTGTTTGTTTTGCTTTTGCTGATAGCTTTTTGTATTCTATTTGGTTTGCTATAGTTGTTTTTTTCCTCCATCTGTTAAAAGCTTTATTCCTTTCTTTTATAGTTTCATGACAATCTTTGTTCCACCATGGTTTATTTGGTTTATCTATTTTTTGTCTTGTTTCTAATTTTAAATATTTTAGAGCTGTATTTTTTATCTGCTCTGTTATTTCTTCTATGGTTGATATTTCTTCTAAATTTGTTTCATTTAAGGGGACCTTCT